CAAACCAGTTGGAAAAAGAGTACCGGAAGAAGGAATGCTGGGTCTGGTCCCTCCCCTAACCTCGGAGAGTTTGTGGTAGTTGGGCGTGCCCCCCGTGCCAGTAAAAGGCGGCCAGGGGTTGGCATGGGGAATTGGAAGGCCAAGTTAAAAGGCCAGTTATCTTGGACGAGGGGGGAGGGCAGTCACCCTGGTTGGGGGTACTCTGGGAGTTATTATGGTTTGGTTGGCAAGGACAATATTTTCCGATTAAATATTGGCTGATTGATTTATGTTTATGATTATAAATAAAGCTGTGGCCTGTTTATACCACATTTATGTCTCTTGGTTTTAATTGGGGGGTAAATTGGGATAATGTAATTTGATTGTTTTAGTTCGCACCGCACAATAACCACTACCTACACACAAGGCAGTCTGGCACTTCTGGTCTGCACTTCTGTTGGCTGCAGGCCATGAGTAGCTGTCTTCCTAGCTCAGAATAATCCGAGCGCTGTTGCAGATTACCAGAGTTATGCATGGTCTGTACCCAGTGGAGGGGCAGACCAGATTCAGATCAGTATGCCCCTCTCCCAACTAGGTAACAAAACAATAGGAAAGGAGGGATGAATATTTGTTTTTAAATCATTAATACTTTAATAAATCCACTATACAATCACTACACTCCTATACACACTATGCATGGATGATGGGGGCGCTGTGAAGATTTTTCGCACACGGTGCTTAAAGGCCTAAGGCCGGCCCTGTGCGTGCACTTCTGGCCGCACATGCTGCGCATTCGGCTTTACTCGGAAGCTGACGTCGATGGAGGAGGAGAAATCACCAGTGCCGAGGGAGCCCGGCGCTGGATTAAAGTAAGCAAATAAATGGTTAATTAACCATTTATTCGCTGTGGAACGGGGGCTCAATAGCGTTCTAACACTATAGTATTCCCTTAATAATGTCTTTGAGTGAAGGAGACCAGGGAACAAAATCAGGACAGCGGGACAGGACCCTAAAATAGTCTGTCTTGACGAAGCCTATTATATGTTTCCATGAGAGCATAATGAATTTGGCAGGCCTCCAACCAACCCAAGTAACTAAACCTTATTCCAAAAACCTTTCAGCTTTCTCTTGATCCATTATTTGGCCTGACTCACAATGTGGAATTCAACTCGGATTCCCTAGTGGTGTAACCTTCACATTTCATCTTTTGTCTACTGCAACATTAGTAGTGTTACAGGTAACGCTGAAAAAGCCACACACAGAGAGTCCGGACACAGGTCAGTTCAGGAAGTAAAGGTCTTTATTCTTACCGACTGGGTCTCAGCTGAACTCCTGTTCAAAATGTCTGAGCACATGGGGTAGAGACTTTTTATAAGCTATGCATCCCCTATCTGTATCCTTACACCAATCAACAAACAGGATACACAGGATAACCTTATATGGACAGGCAACACGGCCCTTTTAGGAGAATGGAATGTAGTTTCAGTTCTTGCACACTCAGTACATTGATGACAGTATCTTAGCTACATGTAACTAACTAACAGATACAACAGATACCTGTACTTGTATATACCATATGGAGATTTTAGGCCTACTAAATTTTGGGCCTAGCTGAAATCTTTTCACAGTAGCACACACCAAAATGGGTGGAGTCTGGTGATAGGCATATAAGCAGAGTGCTTATTTTTGTTCCAAAACCTGCTTAGAAACCTGATACTTACCACTAGCTGATAATTAAGATCATAGTTAGGAACACTATAGGCATCTCAATGAGGTGGTTTGGGTGCCAAGATCCCCCCTCCTCCTCCACGATTTATCCTTGTTTTACCCTGCAGATGAGAAAATTGCCATTTCTGCAGGAAAAACCCCACTGTTTTAATCCGATTGTCTCCCAGGGGCACAACACATTGTTTTGTCGCGCATGCAAACTAGTATCCCAATGCTTTGCTATGAGGAAGTACTGGATTGGCTGAGATCATTGATTTTGATGATGTCAGCCAAAGAGGTGAAGCAGCATGACGGAGACCAGTGCTGCAAGGGAGAAAAGGTAAGTACATGCACCTTTTTAACCCATGCAGCTGGTGCCCACCCAGTCATCTAAATGGTGACTAGAGCACTATAGCATTTGTATTCCTAATGCTATAATGTTCAATTAATGCCCTGAGTAACTATAGATGAAAAAAAATATTTGCCACCCACAGTCTGTACAATGCAGGCAAACCAGTTAAATTAATTCCCTGTGGTCCATACTATTGAAATTATTGTCTATATGAAAAATTGTTTGAGCAGAGCCTTTTTCACCTCCTCTATCTGTCTACATAATTTGTGTCTGCCAGTTACATTTTACGTTAAAGCACCATAACCACTACAGCCGGCTAAAGTTGTTTTGGTGCCAAGAGTGACTTAGCTTCCTCTCACAGTAAGTAGTTAAACCATTTACTAACGGTCTTACAACTTACCTAGGCAGGAAGCTCCACTAAGCTGAGTGCTTTCAGCCAATGAATGCCTCCCTGTACCACTAGTCTTAGCTCAAAGGCAGAGCTTCTGGCTGCAGAGGAGGTGGGCACTCAGCCAACACCTAGGTAAGTTGCCAAATGTAATTAAATAATTTAAAGGACCACCCTCAGGGTCCCCTTCCCGCTGGGTTCTGAGGGGAGGAAGGGGTTAAACTTACCTCTTTCTCCAGCGCCGGGCAGGGAGCTCTACTCCTCCTCTCCGCCTCCTCTCCTCCTCTTCGGCTGAATGCGCAGGAGCCGCACGCGCATTCAGCCAGCCTATAGGAAAGCATTCTCAATGCTTTCCTATGGACGTTGGCGTCTTCTCACTGTGAAAATCACAGTGAGAAGCGCGGAAGCCCTCTAGCGGCTGTCAATGAGACAGCCACTAGAGGCTGGATTAACCCATAGGTAAACATAGCAGTTTCTCTGAAACTACTATGTTTACAGAAAAAAGGGTTAATCCTATCTGGACCTGGCACCCAGACCACTTCATTAAGCTGGTCTGGGTGGCTATAGTGGTCCTTTAACTACTTACTGGGTTAGGGTGTCAGGGCATGTAGGGCATCACAGGGAGCTTTAGTGGTAATGGTTCGTGGAGAGTTCTAAGTAACTCTATGAAACCCTACTGTAACTGTAAAGCACTCCAGAAAATGATGGTGCTATATAAATGTTATAGTTACATCATACACTAAGGAAATGTCTGTAAACTATATCGATCTCAAGATATTTTTCCTGGTTAAATAAAAAGAAAAACATAAGAGACTTTCCAACTAGATTGCAAATATACAAAGTTAAGGCAAAATAGTCAAATATGAAAAATATTTAAACTGTAATTAATTTTCCAACTTTTTTGTTTTGTTTACAAAAGTACTGGTTAAGAGTAATACTGCATTAATTTAAAACCTGGAACCCTTTAAACGAAACTATCAATAAAGCAGTCTAGAAAGCTGGGCTCTGCAAAACAATGGCTAAATCAGGGAGAGGGTAAGGGAACTTTGAGTGTAAATGTAAAGTGAAAGCCAAAACTTTAGACAAATTTGCAAAATCTGATAATATATATATATAAACACACTCACTACAAGTAGAAAATGGTAGTAATTCATATATTCCATCATGACCTTTAATGGCTCATTCCTTTCCTTAATCTTTCAGCAAGCAGAGGCAGTTATGACTCCCCCTCTTTCTACTCCCCCCCCCCACACACACACACTCACTCACTCATATAACTCTGCTACGTCAGCAATTAAAGTTTTCTACCCCCATTCCCCAAATCACATCCAGATGTTCTCACTACCCCCCAGCGGTGGGAACTTGGGTCCTGTGTGGGAGGGAGCCTATGCTGGAACAGCAGAGAGGATGTACAGATGCTGACTGGGTGTGCGTGTGCATGTGTGTGTGTGAGATCTACAACAAAAACAAAGAATTCAAGAATGTTCTGATAATTTGAGATGGGTGATGGGCATACCTGGGAACTTTAAACCGAGCTGACTGAGACCCTTCAAAATATTAACCCATTAAACCTTTGCATTATCAAGCGATTTGCAAATATACAGTGAAGCATAATCTGAGTATTTTAGGTATCTTGGAAAGTAATGTATTCCTCATTCATAATGCATAAAATTTAAAAAACATTTATTAAATAATAAAGGCCAAAATAAGAAAACAGTGTTGTAAATAAATACATTTTTGAATATGTAACATTGATGTTTTCCCTCACATATTCCCACAAGCAAATAGTTTGGACAATTAACATCCGATCCTGAGTTATAAGCCTGGATTTTATCTGTCTGGCAGTTCAATGCAAGAATTGCTAAATTTAGACATTGTTAAAGGACCAGTGGCGTACACATGACCCATGGGGCCCCGGTGCGAAAATTGATCCGTGCGGGCCAAGCCGCAACACATGGCGGAGGGCACCTGGTTGCAGGGGTTACAGGGCTGCGACCCCTGCGACCGCGGAATGTACGCCAGTGCGTGCAGATGCACACACACTTAAAGGACCACTCTAGGCACCCAGACCACTTCAGCTTAATGAAGTGGTCTGGGTGCCAGGTCCAGCTAGGGTTAACCCATTTTTTCATAAACATAGCGGTTTCAGAGAAACTGCTATGTTTATGAATGGGTTAAGCCTTCCCCTATTTCCTCTAGCGGCTGTCTCATTGACGGCCGCTAGAGGCGCTTGCGTGCTTCTCACTGTGATTTTCACAGTGAGAGCACGCCAGCGTCCATAGGAAAGCATTATGAATGCTTTCCTATGTGACCGGCTGAATGCGCGCGCAGCTCTTGCCGCGCGTGCGCATACAGCCGACGGGGAGGAGAAGAGGAGGATCGGAGGAGGAGAGCTCTCCGCCCAGCGCTGGAAAAAGGTAAGTCTTACCCCTTTTCCCCTTTCCAGAGCCGGGCGGGAGGGGGTCCCTGAGGGTGGGGGCACCCTCAGGGCACTATAGTGGTCCTTTGAAGGACCACTACAGACACCCAGATCACATCAGCTCAATTAAGTTGTCTGGGTGTCAGGTCCCTCTAGTTTTAACCCTGCAGCTGAAAACATAGCAGTTTCAGAGAAACTGCTATGTTTCACTGAGGGTTAATCCAGCCTCTAGTGGCTGTCTCACTGACAGCCGCTAGAGGAGCACACTGAACGTCCATAGGAAGGCATTGAGTAATGCTTTCCTATGGGCGGTTTGAATGCGTGCGCGGTCGCATTCGGAGCTGAGAGGCTGAGGGATCCTCAGCACCAAGGGAGTCCGGCGCTGGAGAAAGGTAAGTGCTGAAGACACACACACTCTCACTTACAGACGCATACACACTAGCTAACAGACACACACATTTACTGACAGAGACACAGTCAGCGACAGACATACATACACACTCACTTACAAAACATACACTCTCATTGACAAACACACACTCACTAACAGACATCAAACAGACTCACTAACACACACACACACTCAGTAAGACACACACAGTAACACACTCACTGACACTCACTAGCAGACACACACACTAACACTCACTCTAACACTCACTCTAACACTCACACTAACACTCACTATCAGACACACACACTAACACTCACTAGCAGACACACACACTAACACTCACTCTAACACTCACACACACTAACACTCACACTAACACTCACTCTAACACTCACTCTAACACTCACACACACTCAAACACTAACACTAACACTAGTTTTTTTTACCTTTTGGAGTGCTGGGGGGATTCCTTGGGGTCCAGTGGTGCTGCTGGGCTCCTGGGCGGGTGGCCGGTCAGGCAGGCAGGCGGGCGCGAGGGAGGGAGCACTCAGTGCTTCCTCTTCAGCTCCCTCGCGCGCCGCGTAGGGATGCCGGCGCCGGAAAATGACGTCATCTTCCGGCTCCGGTATCAGTGCGGTGTGCGAGGGAGCTGAAGAGGAAGCACTGAGTGCTCCCTCGCGCGCCTGCCTGCCCAACCGGTCACCCGCCTGCCGGGTGACAGCAGGGCCAGCCTCGGGGGGCCCTGGGGTGGCTGGCTCCTGGGCCCTCCAGGGGAAGAGGCTGGCCCAGTGGGTACACACCGGGTCGCAGGGGCGGCCGGGCCCCCTGGTGGGGTGGGCCGGGCCCAGTCGCAGCCGCGACCCCTGTGACCCTGGTATGTACGCCACTGTAAAGGACCACAATAGGCGCCCGTTCATGTGAACTCTATACCATTCCCTTTTTAACTACCGGATAAAACTCCCGAACGGCCGGCCACCCAGTAGAGAAGTGTGCTGCTGGTTAACCTCTTGGCACTATTAGAACATTGAGGTTAACCGCAGACACCTATTAATTGATGCCTGTAGCTTGGTGGCTGACATTCGTATCCCGAACACGAGGTCGCGGCCATTTTAAATCCACGAACGCTCAGCGGTAAACTCATGGAACTCAAAACTGACACTTTTTGGCACAAACAAAGCTGAAGCCGCCGACCTTCCTTCTCCTTTGGTAGCAAACTCACGAATGTCCCTGTATTCAGTATTTTGTCCGCGAATAAGCCATACCCCAGATAGCCATCCCGTGGAATCTATTTGTATGGAGAACAGACTTGGCGATTGGAATGTGTGCATAGGATCTGAGCGCTATTCGGTACTTTTGTACGCTCAATACAATGCCTGTATTATGTCCAGTTATTGTAAAGTTATATAATTTTATGCATTTTGTTACAGTCACTTAAAATGGCGTTTGGTCTTTGTCCAGGGAGATAATTGAATTACTTCATAACTATCTCCCGGGCAGAGCAGAAGGTCTTGGGTAATTAAAGGGGCATGGCTACAGGTGTAACACTGTGATTGGTTGTTGTAATGTCCTTGTCACAGTCTCCCATTTGGTCCACTAGGGGAGTGTCCACCAGGTGGGAGACCTGCATAAATATTGGGCAGGTAGCCCTCAGTAAACCAGATTCCTGCTGACCCCCAATACGAAGCTTTGTCTCGTCATCATTGGGGGAATTATTCGTATGCATTATGCTTGTTCGGCTGTTTGGGAGACTCACTGGTTCGTGTGATTGCTGTTCGGCTGTTTGGGAGACTTATTGGTTCGTGTGATTGCTGTTCGGCAATTTGTAGAGCTCAGTGGCTACCTCTGCATTCGGGAAGGGAACGTCCAATATGGCTGTACCCCCTCTCCTACCGGGGGAGCCGTAACCGCCACTGTCAATGCAGGGGTGTATATGTGTGTAGTGTTGATTCTTGAATTTAGTGGTGTATTCACATATACAAATACACTGCCAAATACACAAATGCACATCTGACACACACACACACACATATATGCACACTGAGAAACTCACTGTGCTACACACAAGAGGGTGGCTTCCTGAGGCTTTAGTGGAAGCTGGACAGTGCACCTTCCTGCGTCAGGTCCTTTGTCACTCTCTCCCCTTTGGGGCTCTTCCACCCTAAGGATCCAGTCTTGCATGGAGAGTGCTTCCCTCCTGTTAGGTATAAGACTATGAGAAGCATTAACCAAATGGGGAAGGACTGATTTCCTATAAACCTTGGCTGAGTGGAAAGTAAAATGCAGCAGATTCGTTGCCACCATGAAAAGGAGTGGGGGGGGGGGTTGACCATGGGAGACCACTGTATGCACCACCAGCCAGAATGTTTGAATCAGCAGTCATTCTCACCATATGTTAAGAAGGGTACCAAGTTCCATCTCACATTTCCAGCATTAAAGATATTATGTTGAGAACATACAGTTGCAAGAAAAAGTATGTGAACCCTTTGGAATGATATGGATTTCTGCACAAATTGGTCATAAAATGTGATCTGATCATCATCTAAGTCACAACAATAGACAATCACAGTCTGCTTAAACTAATAACACACAAAGAATGAAATGTTGCCATGTTTTTATTGAACACACCATGTAAACATTCACAGTGCAGGTGGAAAAAGTATGTGAACCCTTGGATTTAATAACTGGTTGAACCTCCTTTGGCAGCAATAACTTCAACCAAACGTTTCCTGTAGTTGCAGATCAGACGTGCACAACGGTCAGGAGTAATTCTTGACCATTCCTCTTTACAGAACTGTTTCAGTTCAGAAATATTCTTGGGATGTCTGGTGTGAATCGCTTTCTTGAGGTCATGCCACAGCATCTCAATCGGGTTGAGGTCAGGACTCTGACTGGGCCACTTCAGAAGGCGTATTTTCTTCTGTTTAAGCCATTCTATTGTTGATTTACTTCTATGCTTTGGGTCATTGTCCTGTTGCAACACCAATCTTCTGTTGAGCTTCAGCTGGTAGACAGTTGTCCTTAAGTTCTCCTGAAAAATGTCTTGATAAACTTGGGAATTCATTTTTCCTTCGATGATAGCAATCCGTCCAGGCCCTGAGGCAGCAAAGCAGCCCCAAACCATGATGCCCCACCACCATACTGCACACTGGGATGAGGATTTGATGTCGGTGTGCTGTGCCTTTTTTTTGCCTCACATAGTGTTGTGTGTTTCTTCCAAACAACTCAACTTTGGTTTCATCTGTCCACAGAATATTTTGCCAGTACTGCTGTGGAACATCCAGGTGCTCTTGTGCAAACTGTATACATGCAGCAATGTTTTGTTTGGACAGCAGTGACTTCCTCTGTGGTATCCTCCCATGAAATCCATTCTTGTTTAGTGTTTTACGTATTGCAGATTCGCTAACAGGGATGTTAGCATTTGCCAGTGACTTTTGTAAGTCTTTAGCTGACACTCTAGGATTCTTCTTCACCTCATTGAGCAGTCTGCGCTGTGCTCTTGCAGTCATCTTTACAGGACGGCCACTCCTAGGGAGAGTAGCAGCAGTGCTGAACTTTCTCCATTTATAGACAATTTGTCTTACTGTGGACTGATGAACAGCAAGGCTTTTGGAGATTCTTTTATAACCCTTTCCAGCTTTATGCAAGTCAACAATTCTTAATCGTAGGTCTTCTGAGAGCTCTTTTGTGCGAGGCATCATTCACATCAGGCAATGCTTCTTGTGAAAAGCAAATCCAGTACTGGTGTGTGTTTTTTATAGGGCAGGGCAGTTGTAACCAACACCTCCAATCTCATCTAATTGATTGGACTCCAGTTGGCTGACATCTCACTTCAATTAGCTCTTGGAGATGTCATTAGTCTAGGGTCTTTCCACCTGCACTGTGAATGTTTACATGGTGTGTTCAATAAAAACATGGCAACATTTCATTCTTTGTGTGTTATTAGTTTAAGCAGACTGTGATTGTCTATTGTTGTGACTTAGATGATGATCAGATCACATTTTATGACCAATTTGTGCAGAAATCCATATTATTCCAAAGGGTTCACATACTTTTTCTTGCAACTGTATAAATTAGTTTCCCTGGAATTAGTTTAGTTGAATTTGTGCTTCCCTAGGCATGCCTAAACTTGGGAACCCCTCTAATCTAAATTTGCCCCACCCCTTCCTGCCAAGACCATACCTCTTCCTGTTTAAGACCAACACACAATTTCACTGACTGACATACGCCCTAACTGATACATGCACTGACATACACTCACTGACAGTAATGTAGTCATTGGCAAACATACTGTTTAAGCAACACAGATTTTCACTGACAGACACACAGTGACACACCCACTTAATGGCAGGCAAACACTCTCAGATACATATACACTTACTGACAGACACACATTGACACACACTCACAGATACATACATCCTCACTAATTTGACACACTGATCGACACACACATTCACTCACAGACACACACTGACAGCTACTCATTCACTAACAGACACACACATTCACTGACAGACCAACATACAC